TTTCCTTGTCAACTGTCTCTGAGATCAGATATACCAAGGAAACACAAAGAGATTGGTCTGCTTAGAGCAGTGGGGACAGAGGAAGTCTGGGTGGGGTTGTGGGGTTCAGTGGGGTTCTTCAGAGAGGGTGGCAGGCTTTGGACACACACACACATACATATATGTATATGTATGTATATAAAATGTACTGTCTGTCTCTCTGTTTGAGGGGGATCTTTACTGGTTTTGTTCATTAATGTATCCCAAGAACCTAGAACACCTGGAACACAGTAGGTGCTCAAGAAACATGTATTGAAAGGGCAATGAATTTATTCAGCAGATATTATTTTAAGCCTACTCACCAGGCCCCATACCACCCATATCTACACAAGGAAGACAGCCACAGTCCTTGCATTTTGAAGCTTACGGTCAAGCTTCTTACCTGCTAAAACTAAGACATGTCGAGAAATGAATGAAGGGAATGTGCTCACCTTCCCAGGGAATGTGGGATCTTTACAGAGAAACTTTTTAACCCAGAGAGTGACCCTTGAACTTCAGGATTTCAGCCTGGCTATTTCGGGGCAGGGCCGCCTTCTGGGTACATCTCAGATTACACCTACAAGGCTACCCCACCCACATAGCCATCCTGCCAGAGCCTCACGGCAGAGAAAGGAGTCCTTAAGTGACTGCCCTCCTTCCTTCCTCCTTGTTAAGATGACTTCTCCAGTAGTCAGGCCCCCAGCAGCAAACAGAGAGAAAGGGGTGATCAGGGAGAGTTTGGTGGAGAGGTTAACCACAGAGGGGCAGGTGGGGTTGAGAGAAACCAGCCAGGATGATGAAGCCCCCTGGGGTGCTGACCCGAAGCCAGAAGACAAGGGAGCCCAGGAGAAGGGGTCCACCAAGGTCAGCCTGCTAAGGTGCAGAGCAGGTGGGGAAGGTTGGAAGGTCTGCAGGGGCTAATGGAATACCCAGCACATTCTCTTTATCTTCCTTTGGTCAGGCTGGGAAACTGAGGCACGAGAGTTAAACCTGGGGGTCTGTACCCCATCCCAGATGCGGGCCTGAGGCTATCAGAGCAGGCAGGAAAAGGCACAACAAGTACTCTTCAGTTCGTAGGACAGGGAAACAGCAGTGTGCTTGTCTGACTGTCACCACGGCAACCGCACTGAGCTGCCTTCCAGGCCCAAGTCCAGGGAACGGCTGGCAGTCACTTTTTCCATCACCCGCCCATTCCATTCCCGTCCCTCTTTCCTTCCTCCTTGGGCCCAGACAGAGTGATTTCCCATGATGCATCCATTCCCAAGGAGAACAATGGATGGCAGCTCTGGGCGGAGGGTGCAGCACTTGGGCAGGGACAGAGATTGGGGTGGGAGGAGCAGAGAGATGCCAGAAAACTCAGAGTGAAGGGGAGAGGATTGAGGGGGCGGGGGCTGTGATATGACCTGGGGCACACAGTCCAGAACTCAGGTTCCCAGACTCCAAGCCTATCACCCAACATGTGCATCAAGTATCCAGAAGAACACATAGTAGCCACAGACACAGAAAAGCCTATCAGGCTGGGAGATGGCAGACGTAACTACTTCAGGGCAGAAGGCAACACTGAAAAAGAGGTTTAACAGCATGTCCCAGAGGAGGGGGGAAGCAGTCACTCCACCCAGCTCACTTGTCATGATAACACAGTCTACTAACACCTGGGGAAAGAGGATGGAAGTGAGGGTTCCCTAAGGTCCTTGGGCTGCCAACACGGCTGTTGGTGTTCAAGAGTTCAAGCGTCCCGAGCTCCAGGTGACCACCAGCTCAGAGGAGCTGACCACACTGCCCAGAACCTTTGAGAAATGAACATGACTGGGTGGGCAAGAATGCTGGTGCCTGGCAAGGAGAGAAATCCTGTAAACTGAGACAGGGGCCAGGAGAGGCTGAGCAGGGACCCCTGCTCCCTTTCTTGTATGGGAGAATTGATGCAAAGTTTCCGGGACAAGCTGTGAAGCAGCTCCCACACGTGACGCAGATGGTCCCATTAGAAGAATCTGGGACACTCTTCAAAGCCAATTAGAAGAAAGTGAGTTCCACATCAGAGGCTTGCAAACACGGCAGCACCTGAAAATCACACAAGCAGGTTCTTAAAAATAGAGATTCCTAGGGCCACCTCAACCTTACAGACTCAACCATCGGAGCAGCGGTGCTCAATCTCAGCTGCACACGAGGATCATCCCAACACCCAGGGGGACCCCCAGATCGACTCAGTCAGAATCTCCGCGGCGGGGTGGGGGAAGACCTAGGCATCAAGTCCACTGAGTATCAATGTATGATCAAGGCTGAGAATCACAGCTCTGCAGTGGGCTGGGATCTGTGTGTTTAACGTGCTCCCCAGCTTGGGATTCTAAAGAACCCCAAGCAGGCCTCACTCTGTTGGCAGGTATTTGGGAAGCTCTGCTAAAGGCAACGTTCCCCAAAGCAGTGAGTGTGGTCCACCAGACTGAGCAGGGGGAATGGTGGGGGCTGGAGACCAGGTCCTGGGGCCATAGTGAAACGGAGCAGGACCCTATGTTCCCTGGCCCCCATGTCCTCTGCCTGCCTTTTGTCTGTGGAAAAACTTTAGCCAAAGAATAAATTTAATCAGAGAAATGAGAAAATGCAGAAACAAAGGAAAACAGTCGAAGGAGACCAAATAATAATAATTTAGTCATTAAGCAAAGTCAAGGACCTTTAGTTCCTCCTCAAGGGCTATAGATAATATTCTGAGCCATATCCTGTGAGCTGTCTTATAGACACTGAAACCTCCACCAGGTGGAAGAAGTGAACTACATGGTGACCAGATGGTAGCCATGACATAAGCTGCCACAAATTCGAGAACCAGCTTCAAAGAAATGGGAACAAACCGACCCTGGAACTAAAGACTAACTGTACCTAAAACAATCAAGATGACACTGATCAGACCACCTCATGACTAATTTCAAGATGAGTGTCCGCAGGTTCGTGCCCTGGTCCGGGAGGATCCCACATGCCGCGGAGCGGCTAGGCCCGTGAGCCATGGCCGCTGAGCCTGCGCGTCCGGAGCCTGTGCTCCGCATGAGAGAGGCCACAGCAGTGAGAGGCCCGCGTACCGCAAAAAAAAAAAAAAAAAAGATGAGTGTCCGAGCTGATTGTGCTCTTTCTGCAGGCAGCCCCCTCCCTCGGTCTACAAAAGCTCTTGCCTCCTGATTGATGGGGCGGGGCGGGGGGGGTGGAATTCAGTCTTTGCACAGGTGTCCACCCTCCCCCCCACCCCCCACCCGGGGTTGCTGGCATCCAAAGTAAAGCAAACTCTCCTTTCCACCAGCCTGGCCTCTTTATTGGCTTTTGAGCAGCGAGCAGCCAGACCCCACTTTCGGTTACAGTAGGGATATAGCCAATGACTGGACAAGAGGGATGCCCAGTGCTTTTCTTCTGCACTGTGGCACATGGGAAACTGCGGAACTGGGGCCCCAGCAGGAGGGGCAGCGCTCACCGGACCCCCTCCCCCAGCACGGAGCTAGCTCTCCGTTTAACACTATGCTCTTCAGACACCCTGAGAAGCAAGCCATCTGCAGCATACTCCTGTGATGAAATAAAATTCAAATTTTATGGTAAGACAAGAAACATAAACATAAAATTTTTCTTTGCCCATCTGGGCTTCCTCCCTCCTCGTGTGTGTGTGTGTGTGTGTGTGTGTGTGTGTGTGTGTGTGTCTGTTGCATCTGCATTAACCCGATCCCCTTTGGAGATCACATTCTTTCTTAATCTCATAAAGGGTCACAACTCCTTAAGAGATAACCTGCCTTCTTAATCTTGTAAGAGGCCACGATGACCCATGACCACGCTTTGTACGAGGGGATCTGGATTGTGTAAACTGTCAATAATACGTCATTTGATATACAGCCCTCGCTCAAAACTTACGTAACTGTGCTTTGACCTCTAACAGGCCAAAGAGTTCTCAGAGCTTTCGGAGAGGCTGTTCCCAGGTTATAACCCTCAGTTTGGCATGAATAAAAGTTCCCATTTCTTTCTTAGATCGACTGGTTAATTTCTGTGTCAACACCTGGACCTCAACAATATTTGAAGTCAGCCTCATGCATACGGCCTCTGAGGTCAGGGGGTCTGGGTTTAATTCCCACACTATACTTCCTAGCTGTGTGATGTTGGGCAGGTTACCTAACTTCTCTGAGCATGTTTCCTCAGCTGCCATATGGTGATACGAATAGTATCTATGTCTTAGTGCGGTGGTGAGAATCAAACAATTCATCCATGAAGAACACTTGCAACAATACCGGGCATGCAGTAAGCGCCCCATAAAGATGAGCTATGAGACACATATATACATATATTATTTATTATACATTACGACTGACTATGCTCCAGGAACTATTTTAAGCACTTCCCGTGGCCTGGTGAGCAGGAGGTCCAGACCCAGGAGCTCGGCCTCCTCTCTGAGGCCTTTGGACAAATCACCTTCCTGCCTGGGCTGGATCTCCCACGCGAAGCCAGGGCCCAGGCTCCGCAAGGCCTCGGGCATCTTTGACGCCGGAGGTGCTGAGCCAGACCCTCTCTGGACACCGGGCACCTGTCAACCTGCAGCCGGGACTAGGGTTCCTCTTCCTTCTGACTTAGTCTGGGAAGAGGCGAAAACAGACGGCACGCCAAGGTACAGAGCCGGCTTTCTGCGTGTGGCTTTGGCGTGAGGTCGAGTTTCTCCGCGCCGCCCGCAGCCCACCCGGCACCCGGAGCATCCCAGAGGGCCCGGCCGCCTTTTTGGGAGCCCCTCCCCATCCCCCCCGCCCGCAGGAAGTGCCACCGCCCAGCTCGGGCCCCCGGGCAGCGCCTCCGCCGTCTCCCGAGCTGGCACCCGCCGCCCTTGAATCAGCCTGGGCGCGCCTGTGCCCAGACGCGCACGAAGTCTCCTCCCGAAGCCCCGGCCCCGAATGAGAAAACGCCGAGCGCTGGGCCCAGCGCGCCCCCGCTTTGGGGAAGCCCGGGCCCGGCCGGCGGCAGGGTGGCGCCCTCGGGGGCCCTCCCGAGGGTCAGCTGCGGGCGGCGGCCGGGGCGCGGCGGGCGCGGGAAGCCAGAGGACGGCTGACTCATCTTCCTTCCCGCCGCCGTGAGTCACCCGCCTCCCCCGGGACCCGCTCCCTCTACCCCCACCGCCCCCGCCGCCCTGTGGCGCCCCCTGGCGGCCGCCCTGACTCCCCGCTGCCCCTCCCAGCGCTCTGCGCCCCGTCCCCCTCCCCTCCCCACGCCCCGGGGCCCCGCCCTCCTCACCCCTAGGCGACTCCACCTTCTGAGCTGAGGAGCTCCGGAAGCCTTCTGTGCTTAGTTTATGCATTTAATTCATACAGCCACCCTGGGGGAGGCAGTTGCCATTATGCACCCATACTCAGATAAGAAAATGAAGGCCTAAGTCATGGTGTAATGACAATTTTTTAAAAAATATTTATTTTTGGCTGCGTTGGGTCTTCGTTGCTGCGCGCGGGCTTTCTCTAGTTGCTGCGAGCGAGGGCTACTCTTCGTTGCGGTGCGCGGGCTTCTCATTGCGCTGGCTTCTCTTGTTGCGGACCACAGGCTCTAGGTGCTTGGGCTTCAGTAGTTGTGGCACGTGGGCTCAGTAGTTGTGGTTCACGGGCTCTAGAACGCAGGCTCAGTAGTTGTGGTGCACAGGATTAGTTACTCCGCCGCATGTGGGATCTTCCCGGACCAGGGCTCGAACCCGTGTCCCCTGCACTGGCAGGCGGATTCTTAACCACTTCGCCACCAGGGAAGTCCCTTTAATGACAATTTGTAGACCACTTAATTGTTTAGGCAACACTTTAACTCCACAACAACTGGGGAATGAGGAATTATCCTGCCCCTTTAGAGATCGGCTAACGGGTAAAGTCCCAGGAAAAGTAAATGACTCGTTCAAGGTTGCTGGGACCCAGGCCTCAGTCCCAAGCCCTGGGGCTCTTTCCATTTTCTCAATGTCATCTCCCCTCTCTCTTCCTGCAGACAACCCATGTGACTCACGGTCGAACTCAGCCCACATCCAGATTACAGCACCGGTGAGTAAGTTACCCTGCTGGATGCTTTTGCATGAGAACGCACCTAAACAAATCCCCCTGCTGGGAAGCCAGCTCTGTGGGGCTGGGATTTCTTTTCCTCTATTTTATTCACCGCTGTCTCTCCAGTGCCTAGAAGAGTGAGTGTCTACATTTCATGGAGCTCCATAGATAAATGAAACCTCTCCGCCAAAGAGGCCAGGCAGCCCCAACAGTCCTCAAGGAGATGGAGAGAGGGACTTCCCTGGCGGTCCAGTGATTAAGAGTCCGCCAAAAAAAAATGGGGAGACAGGAAATGAAGGGTAGTGGAGGGGTCAGTTTTTCTCCCAAATCCCGGAAGAAAAGACGCCTCCTAGGGCTCCTTTCGCTGCCCGTCTTCATGCTTCATACCCTGTCCAGGTAAGAAAAGTCTTCCCTAAACCTAGCCTTGATCTTATTCTCACATTCCCTACATACCTGAGGGGCAGTAAGTGAGGTTTGCATCCTCCTGGCTCCTCATGGCTGCTTCTAGAAGTGTCGCCCCACCACCACCCCTGCCACCCCTGTATAAACATCCTTGAAGAATCTGGGCGATCAGCTTTAGCTCCCGTTCCCCTTCCTCCTGGTGCCCCTTCTTGCTGTTGTCCTCTGGCCTCTTGGCCAATTCCCCTCCTTCCCTGAAGACTCGGCTCCTGGCTCAACACCTGCTGTCCCCGTGACTCTGCTCTCGCTCTGCCAGGCAGCAGCCACGTGGGAGAACCATCCGTCACCACGGCCTCCGATCCTGGGCCTCTTGATTCATGCTGCAACATAGAGGAACCTTGAGAACATTATGTTAAGTGAAGTAAGTCAGTCACACACATATAGTGTATGATTCCACTTACATGAGGTCCCTACTGTGGCCAAATCCACAGAGAAAGAAAGAAGTGGAACGGTGGTTGCCAGGGAATGCGGGGCCGGGGAGATGGACATGGGACGTTGTTTGATGGGTACAGAATTTTAGTTTTACAGAATGAAAAGAGTTCTGGAAATTGATTGCACAAAATGTGAATGTACTTAACACTACTGAACTGTAAACCTAAAAAAATGGTTAAGATGGTAAATTTGGCATTGTGTTGGGGTTCTTTTACAATTAAAAATAAGAAAAACATACATTAGCTGGCATTTCTCTCCTGCTTTAAACCCTAGAATGGCTTCCTAATTATGAGAATAGGATCTGAATTCCTTACTTGGTGTAGAAAGCCCCGATGACTTCTACACCTCTGTCACCCTCACCTCTGCTCTGGGTCCCCCTGTTCAGCCGCACCAGCTGCCTCTGCGTACCCACACCAGGCTCGTCCCCCCCGGAAGGCTCTGTCTCCACCTTTTCCCACGGCAATCCCCACGCTTTACTCTGAGCTAACATGCTCGGGTTTTCCCTGGCCAAACTATCTGTAGCTTTCCCCATTTTTCTATGTCGCTGTCCCCTTTATTTCCTTCAGAGCACTTTTCTCAGTTTGCAATTACAGGCTTATTTGTTTACTGCCTGTTTCCTGCTGACATGGCCAGCATCACTGCCATCACCTCCAGGCACTAAGCCCCAAGAAGGCAGGAAGCAGAGCTGTCTGGATCCCCCTCTACCCCAGCATCCAGTACAGGGTGCTGGACACACACTCAGTCCCTCCTACATCTTTGCTGATGAATGAGTGAGTCTCTGGCTTTTTTCCTCAGTGTAGCAACAGCACAGTGAGAAGCAGACGTTCTTGGAGTTAAATCCCAGCCTCATCACTTATTAGCTGTGTGTCATTAGCTGTGTGAACTTCAGGGGTTTTGGGGTTTTGTTTTCTGTAAAATGGGGATATCTTGCAAGGTAATTTTGAGGATTATTGTGTTAAATTATATATAACAAGTGCTCGCCACCGATAGATGTCAGCGTATTAGTACCTAACATCATTGCATTCTACTCTCTCAAGGGGATACTATTACCTTGAGTCTGATCAAAACTATAAAACCTCCCTCTAGATAGAAAAATGAAGCTAAACACATATTTTACACATAAATTCTAGGTGTTCACTGACCATCAGAAGCCTGACCAGATTCACCAGGTTAAGAACCTGAATATAAGGGAGAAGAACAAAGCGAAGTGTTAGCGGTCAAGAATGCCTGGGGAATAACTAAAGCAGCCCCGCAGGTCCAGGGCTGCCATCCCTGGTTCTACAGCGCCGCCTGGCGGTGGGATAGAATTGTTGCCTAGGATTCCCAGGCCGGGGGAGAAATGCAGGATTCCGAGTCCCTGCTCCGAGCCTACCCTCAGCACCTCGAATGGCCTCTGTCCACACTTCTTCTCCCGCAGCCCATCTCATAGGAATTTAAAGTCTCTTGGAGCATTGAGGGACTTCCCTGGCAGTCCAGTGGTTAAGACTCCATGCTTCCACTGCAGGGAGCGCGTGCTCGATCCCTGATCCAGGAACCAAGATCCCGCATCTGGTGTAGCGCAGCCAAAAAAAACCCAAACAAAAACAAAAACAAAAACTCTTGGAGGACTTCCCTGGTGGCGCAGTGGTTAAGAAACGCCTACCAGTGCAGGGGACACGAGTTCGAGCCCTGGTCCGGGAAGATCCCACATGTGGCGGAGTAACTAAGCCTGTGCGCCACAACTACTGAGCCTGCGCTCTAGAGCCCACGAGGCACAACTGCTGAGCCTGCGCGCCACAACTACTGAAGCCCACGTGCCTAGAGCCCGTGCTCCGCAACAAGAGAAGCCACCGCAGTGAGAAGCCCGAGCACCGCAACGAAGAGTAGACCCCGCTGGCTGCAACTAGAGAAAACCCACGCGCAGCAACAAAGACCCAACGCAGCCAAAAATAAATAAATAAAATAATTTTTTTAAAAAAAACAACAACTCTTGGAGGCTTGAAATGTTTGCAAGGAAAGTTGTATCACTGGGCCCTCAGGTAGACTGGTAGTTTCAGGGAAAAAAGTAATAAGCACCTTAGTTCTCCACTTTTCACAAATTCGAAATGTGGCATTGATTACAGCTGTCACAGTGTCTCATTATATTAATAATTATTACAATCCTAAAGATTTCAGATTCTTAAAGATTTAATTAATGGGGACAGGGGACTCTGGTGAATCATTTTCCTGTCGTATGCATGTTTTTGTTTACCTTTTAAAATGTGCTTTATATGTTCATACTGTTGTGCTATGTTATACCCCCAAATTAGAAAAACTCATGAATGGCTCAAAAGTGCTTCCTCGACTTGTAAATGTAGCAATTAAGGTAGTAATAGGGACCTGACAACTCAGAACAATGCCATTCATAAACTGTGAACTGGGTTTCAGTGGGGATATAATATGTCTAAAGGTGCTGGGATGAAGGAAAATGTGAGTGATTATTTTGCACAGTAAGAAAAAAGAAACTGCAAATAGGAACTACTACAAACATTATCCGGAAACTGGATTTTATTGACTATTCACCCCTGTCCCCAGTGCATTATCAGCTCTAAAATGTCAAATCGAGGTTCAAAGTCATTAAAGCTTGTGTATCGGTCATAGTTAGAGCCTACTGATTTTTTCCAGAATAACTTCAATATAGCATTTCCCAGAATAAAAATTTAAGTTTGTGATAGAGAGAAAGGCCCCAGGAATATAGCACATCACTCCAAGTTGTCCTCACTCTTCAGAGCAAACACGAGTACAAGACACACAACAGAGAAGACAGACAAACGGGTTGTGAAGTTAGTGACATAGGTACTTAGAAAGCAGTTTTATCGCCACTGTTGGATGTCAGAGAGCAGTGGCAAACTAGGTTCAAGATCAATCACCATCGGGTACGGATGTCAGCATTCAGTTCTCTTTGTGGCTGGTGAAAATCCTCATATCCAGACGGTGCAATAGCTTTCAGAAGGGGGAACACATATGATGGCAAAGTAGTCAATGAGTTTCTGTTCCGCTTATCTCTAAAATTCTCTACTGCAAGAGAGAAATACTTTGTCTTATTAGAGATTATTTGGTAAATGAAAAAGACACACTGGAATCAGGACAGATGAAGCACTGGCTTTGGCAGCAAGAAGGCAGGAGGTCTAAATTCTAATAAAGGAGGTTGTCTAACTCGGAGCCTCAGTTTTTCCCGCTGAAAATTGGGAACGATGTTGATAACAGTAATAGCAATGCCTGTTTCATACAGTTGTGGTAAAAATTAGTGAAGAACTACATATAAAGCGTTTAGGGCAATGTCTGGCATATACTGAACAGAAAGCACTCAGTGAAGGTGAGTTATTATTATTATCATCTTATGAATTCCAGTTCCAACGCTGTTTAATTCACGGAGAACCACTGACAGCCCTCAATACGTGTCCTGAACCCAATTCAGTGTTGAAGGAAATAGAAAACATTTTCACCATGAGTCAAACAGCAATCACTAAGGACACATTCTTTTCAACGTGGTCACAGAAATAGGCAGCAAGTACAAGAACCTGCTTCCTACCCGCAACCCCTAGGAAGTACACGGATGCTGGAGGGCAAAGTAGTTCACATGAGTCTTGTTTTGTTTTAGCATTTTATTGAGATATAATTCACATAACATAAAATTCACCATTTTAGGGGTTCCCTGGTGGCCCAGTGGTTAAGAATCCGCCTGCCAACGCAGGGGACATGGGTTTGAGCCCTGGCCCAGGAAGATCCCACGTGCCGCGGAGCAACTAAGCCCATGTGCCACAACTACTGAGCCTGTGCTCTAGAGCCCGCGAGGCACAACTACTGAGCCCGTGTGCCGCAACTACTGAAGCCTGCAAGACTAGAGCCCGTGCTCCACAACAGGAGAAGCCACTGCAATGAGAAGCCCGTGCACCTCAACGAAGAGTAGCCCCCACTCGCCGCAACTAGAAAAAGCCCACGTGCAGCATCGATGACCCAGTGCAGCCCAAAATAAATTAATTTATTAAAAAAATAATAATTCACCATTTAAAAGTGTACACTTCAGTGACTTTTAGTATATTCACTATGTCATGCAACCAGCACCACTATCTACTTCCAGAACATTCTTATCACCCCAGAAAGAAACCCCATACCTATTAGCCGTTAATCCGGATTCCCAGCCTCCCCCAACCACTGGCAACTGCTAATCTACTTTCTGTCTCTATGGCTTTACCTGTTCTAGACATTTCATATAAATGGCATCATACACTCTGTGGCCTTTTGTGACTGGCTTGTTTCACTTGGCACCATGCTTTCGAGGTTCATCCGTGTCATAGCACGTAATAGTACTTCACTCCTCTTCACGGCTGAGTAATATTCCACTGTATGGATAGACCCCACTTTGTT